TTACATTCGTCTCAAATTCGATAATTCTGCTTATTAACAAAACCATCCAAATGAAAATAAGTTTCATCGCTAAAGATAATGTTTTAAAAAAACTTTTAGAACAGTCTCCGCAAAACTTTAGCAAATTTGTAAAACGACGAACCCATAAATAGAATGATCTAACTTTTGTGGGATTAATTGCGATTTTTCTTTTGAGGTTTTGTAAAGTCCAAGGTTTATACTAACAAACCATAAACAACTCCTGAACTGAAAACAGAAATCCAACGTGTTATTTCAGTTGGGTCAGAGTTGCAAAAAGTTTTTGAAAATTTTATCAAAAGGGTCTGGGTATACCGCACAGTGCAGGCGGCCGACATGTTCCATAATTAATCTCAACATGTCTACTTTAAAAATCAATAAAAATTTCTCAATTAAATAATAAATTACTCTGTTTCATTTCAAGATTAAATCCGCGTATCCGATGGGCCACCCTACGTAACTAGTTGTTTTTTTACCACACTTGACGAATGTACTGTTACTTAAATGTAGATATTAATTTAAATAAATTAAATTAAATAAATAACGATTATCTTTTATCAAGTTTAATAAATATTTACAACTATAAAATATTCTTAATGGTGGTAGGCTTTGTATACTGGGGCAGCGGCAACAATGGTCTTGGCTACTACGGCTTTTTGTACGATTGGTTCTCCTTTGTATTCTACTTCAGCGTTGAATCCGTTGTGGGAGTCAGCGGTGTAGTGGACGGTACGGGTGACACCATCAGGTTGGACCAAAGTATAGTATCCCTTGACCACATCGCCGTCACGTTCTTCGTGTTGGTTCTTTACATCACCGGTGTGAGCGTCTTGGACTCCGTACTGGTAAGCGTATTGTGGGTGGGTGTCTGGGTATACTTCTTGGTGGACGGCCTTGACGATTGGGGCGGCGTAGTGAGCAACTGGAGCAACAGTCTTGACTACAGCTGGGGCGTGGTGGTAAGCGGCAACTGGAGCGGCGTAGTGAGCAGCAACTGGGGCAGCGTAGTGAGCTACTGGGGCGACGGTCTTAACGAAGGCTTGGGCATGGTGGTAAGCAGCAACTGGTGCGGCGTAGTGAGCAGCAACTGGGGCAGAAGCGTAGTGAGTTACTGGAGCATCGCTGAGGGAGGAGTAGGAAGTGGCATGGTGTCCATGTCCAAGTTCGAAGACTCCAGCTTGAGCACAAGCCACCAAAGCAAAAACAGCCAAAATCTAATGAAAATAAGGAATTGTTAGTTTTATTCTTAATTGAATAATATAATTACCTTAGCGAACATGTTGTATGTTTGTGATACAATTCGATACTGTTTGGTAAAAATGCTCTCACTTTTATATGAATCCGTTCCACTTCGAATTCCATTAATACGTTACATAACAACGTACCAGTTAATAATTTACTGTTTGATCTTGAATTTTTTTAATATATATCACGATGCAATGCGCCCAAAGCAATTGTTTACGCCTAATTAATTTAGAAAATACAGTTGAGTAGATATATTGGGAAAGTATAGGAGGATAATATTTGCTTTAATTTTTTTATATTTGTTAATACAGCAATATCTCGCATAATGTGTGGAATTGAATACATACGAAAATAAACTGTACAAAAAGAATCTTGACTGTGTCAACTGGATATTGAATTTTTAAAATAATTAAATTATAAATAATAAGGACAATAATTATTTATAACTAAATAATATATAACAAATTATACATGATAACAAGTAGCATACAAGAAAAAATAATAAATAAAAATATCCACCTTTATCTGCCCACTGATAAGTCATTTATATATAGTCTAAATAATTAATTAATTATTTTATTATAAAGGTAATTCAACAGATATAACTAATATAACTTTCAGATCGGTAAGTCGAGAGAGTGAATATATCTGAAAAAAATATACTGAGAGGGGTTAATGTTTATCAAAAATAATAAAATTGATATTGGCCAGATATCTAATCCTCGGTGCATTAAATATAATACATAAGTAAAAATATAACTAACGTTTAATTGGCGATAATTGCAAAAAGCTCTAGAGAGTAGACATATGTTTCAAAATAATTAAAAATTGCCAGATTGTATAATTGTAATCTCTCATTTGATAATGTACGTTAATGTATTATATAGATAATTCAATAGATCAAATTATAATACCTATTTTTAATTAACCAACGGTCAATCGATTACATATTATATTTTTTAAATGTCCGACATTCAATTTATAAGAAGGACACTAAATTTTTTAATCTGTTATTTCAACCTAATATTTATTAATATAGTAACGAAAATTAATTGTCAACTTATATTTGTATTTTATATTTGTGATACAATTCACTCAATTTTATATCAATCCTTACCATTCCATCTTCGATGAGTTTATTACAAACTAGAAATTTATAATTTGAACTTGAAACAATCAAATTTGCTAAATATTTTCGTGCGCTTGCGGCATTATGTATATGCAAATCATAAATATGAAATCAAAATTGTACAAAAAAATAAACCGTAAATAAAAAATTTAAATTTATAATTAATAAACGACAATTTTGCAAAAATCACTATCAATTATTAACATACCAAAGCTATTAGAAATAGTTTATATATACAAATAATAGAAGAATAATAGTATATTATGCATTATCAAAAATAATAAAATAATAATATTTGTTGTAACAAATCATAATACAGTCCTATCCTTGCCTATGGTATCCCACTACTTTCCCAATGTCGGAATCCTGTCCTAAAAAACCTGTTCGTATCGGAACGTTCCGTCCTTCGTAGCCTCACCAAAATACGACATCCTAATAATCCTCTACACTTCATAATGATCTCCTATACTCCAAAACCAAAATAGTCCCTCTCCTCGACCTATACCTTTCCCTCTCCTTGAAATTTAAATCCAAACAGTCCAACATCGCCTCCCTCTCTAAATTATGTGTCCCTCGAAACCCAAATATACTTCCCAAATTTAAATATCCCACATTATCCCTATTCCAATACATAATGTCCCTCGATTGATACCCACTTGTTCCTACTCCGCTGCTTTTTTCCCTCATTCTTTTATTTTTCATATGTATATATTGTTATTGGTCCATAATAAAAAATTATTTCCCGGGCGGAAAGACCCCGGTCGATAGCCCATTGGCCAGCATGTTAATATATTTATTTTTTTAATAATTTGTGTTAGAATTTATTTACTTATTTTGAGAGTTATTTCTATTATTTAGTTGTTATTATTATCATTTATTTATTTAATAGTATTTTTTTTTATATTTCCAGTCTGGCCAATAAATTATTATATCGCGGTTACATTAAATGGATAATCTTTCCCGGTGGATAGTTACCATTATGATGATTTGATTTTTTAATTTGTTGGTTGGTTGTCGTCCTGTAGGTTAACTTTAGTAGTATATTGGTGCCCTGCGATTTCACTATATCCTTTGACTCTGAATATGCTGCTATTCTTAACACTGTCATTGTCCATCGACTTGGCTGAAGGTCCATATGCTGAACCCCATTCATTTGACTGTTCATATTTGATGAACGATGGCCCTATTGGCCAAAAGGGTCCTGGCTTTACCAAGATTCGAACCGGACTTAACCATTCGGTTATTAGTCGCCCTAAAAATATTATTAACATAAATGTAATTAACAATTCGCATTTAAGTGCTCGTAAAATATACTCATTACATACGAACAACATTTACTAAATTGGTTAACTAACCTATTTATTATTCTGCCGAGTAATTTTAATATGATATATTTTAATTATAGATTGGGTGATATACTGCGGTCAATAGCATTTTGCTCGTTTCAAAATATAAATTAGTTCAGATAAATAAATCATTCATTATTATTTCTGAAAAAAAGTATTTAGTAAATTAAGTATCAATTATAATTTTTAAATTAATAATATATTAAACACGACTTTGATTAATAACTTTATGGCCGGGGACTTTACAAATATAGAATAAAACTGGAAACTAACAGCACACAAAAAAATACTTTCCATAAATATTCAGAATAATTAATAATTTTCACTTGTAAATAAATATAAATAATAGAAGACTGTAGTCTGTATCTTATTGTTAAAGATTAATGTTAAGTTATCGAAGACTAGAGGAACAGTGAGGTTATTTTAGATTCTTTTGAGATATATTTAAGAGGCAGTTTAAAAAACCTATCTAAGATAATTATTTTCATATTGATATATTCATTTAAGATATTTTATATTTCTTTCAGCAAATTTCTATTATAAATTTCTTGAATTGTTGTTCTACTACAAGAAAATATCGATATAATTTCAAATCATTTTCGATAATTTTGTTTTGTTTTTTTTGTCAGTTTGGTCTAATTAAAACGACTATTTGCTTATGAGATGTAAATTTTATAATTAAATAAATAATTTCAACAATAACATTTTCTTAATGGTGGTAGGCTTTGTATACTGGGGCAGCGGCAACGATGGTCTTGGCAACTACGGCTTTTTGTACGATTGGTTCTTCTTTGTATTCTACTT